CCCCCCCCAACCCCGCCCCGCGGCCCCCCCCGCCGCCTGCCGATCGGCATTGGGCTCAATGCATGATAAAGACCCTCGACGAGTCACCCGCGATCCCTGCAATACGCCTCATCACCCACAAGAATTGTCGTACAGTGAAAAAAAGAGAACCGCCGACCAGAGCCATACAAACGAAGCTGACCTCTCGTCCTTAAAGCAACAAAGCATACACCACTAGGGATCACAGCAAAACAGAGGGAGTAAAGGAGGCGTTCGCTGGAGATGGCACGAGAGAGAGCGGGAAGGAGAAAAAAGAGAGGGCGAGGCGACAAGATAGCGACAAACTGGGACATGTACAGAGTCTCGGCTATAGAGACAAGGAGATTCGGGATGATTCAGAGCCAGAGAAACGCAAATAGAGATACAGAGAAATGAGGAGCACACGGATGCACATGCCCAGAAAAAGACAGGGAGACACAAGACCCGGTATGAATGCGGAACGCAGCGCACACCGACCAAGGAATCGGATCAAAACACGGTGCACAGTTACGGCGAGAAAAGCAGACAAAGGTTCGAGGGGACAACAGGAAGATAATGAGGGGACATACAGGAGAGTTGCAGGAATTACTTGATCATTGAACGATAACAAAGAAGATGAGGAAGTCAGAAGAAGAGAAGAGAGAGAGAGAGAGAGAGAGAGAAGGGAGTGTGTCAAAAGCAAGCTGCACTGAGCAAGAGGATGATGACGAAACGAGCAGAGAAAGGGACGAGAAAAGGGACCCAAAAATGAAGAGGGCAGATTAACATCAGTCAAAAGGGGTACTTGATCTCATGCAACGATGAGTTAAGGTCTCCTTAGACAGAGAGCGGCAAATGGAGAAGTTCCGGAAGACTTACTTGCGCAGAACATGCTGCCGATGTGACGTGGCGATTCCTCGCCAACCCCAGCGGCGATAAGATCGCGAGATTGCGCGGGAGTCTTTCGGTTGCCAGTCCACCTAGGCGTTAACACACTCAGACAATACTGGACACTAATACAGATGACACGTGGCAAAGCCACGGCATCGGCTCGAGGCTGAATAAGCTGATCACGTGTACTTCCTCTAAACCCAAGCAGGACTGAGGCCTGCAAGAAAAGTGGTGTGGGATCGACAGGGATAGTCGATATTGACGGACGGGCGCCGGCATAGTCCCACCTTTCAAAGTGGAAGCATTGGAAAAGTCGGAAATTTGGCGGCGGCGTGAACAACCGGCCGGCGTTAGCTACGTCCTTGGCCTGGGTACCGTTGGCGCCTGGCAAGATTTCTTTTACCTGCGCTGTGTTTCTTGGCCCGCTCAGTCGTTTAGCCCGCCACTACCGAGGCGAAGGACCGTCCACTGTCGAGCCCGCTCACGAACCGAACCAAAATCACCACCCCGAACGAAGCAAAATCACCAACCCCCGCGGTCAGAAACAAAGTGGCTCCGCAACGGAGATCAATCATATCATAGGTGTGATCGGGCGATCGATGGAAAGCCTCATCTCATCGCCTATTATTCTAGACCGTTGATGGAATCGACACCACGCAGTTATCAACAAGGTGGAGCCAGGTGGACAATAGAGACAGTCACACATTAGATTGGGACCCCGTCTCCGACATGAAATTGCCGCGACGCCAGTTCTACAAAGACTGGCATGTTTCATGCTACTGTACACAGCGCGCTGGCGCACTCTCTACTCGAACTTCGAAAGACCTACGCAACCTTAGCAACGTGAGGCCGCCCCTGGTCTCGTCGAAATTTGGGAAACGACCGTTGTACCGTCAGCATACCATCCCGTCGCCCGCCGTCACCGTCCGATGCTGTCATCGTCCGTTAGCGTCCTACCGATCGGTCCACCTTCATACTTGTGGAGATCAGAGAGGTCTTCAAATTGGCCAGAAGTGACCGGACTGTTTTGGTTACCACCCGGGTAGGGTTTGCTCAAGTTCAGCTCAAAGCCTCGTGGATTGCACCAGCACTTTTCCCAGCCATTTTTCAATAGGTGGAAGCAACGGCCTGCCATCAGGCCAAAAATACAAGCGGCCCCTAGGCAAAAAATACATCCAGCCAGGCTAAGAGTATATCCAGCCAGAACAGGTAGGCGCGATGCGAATTGGCTGGCGGCAGGCTGGTACATCCCGCCAGACGTCGTGCATGCGTAGCTGCATTCTAGTAAAACGTAATATATCGTCAAACATTATTGGCCGATAATCTGTAGGCAGAGGGGGAGAGAAGAACGCCAAATTTGAAGAAAAGAGTTAGAGGTTAAACCAAAAAAAAACAGAGAAGTATAAAACAATCAGGTGTGAAACTCGAAGAGTGTATCAAATCCAGCATCAAAACAAAGAGTTATCATAGGCGGTACTATACTAGTGTGTTTGAACTAAGCACGAATGAGTTAAAGCACTGAGAATATACTCAAAGTGGTTATAGTGGCAAAAAAACAAAATGCAAAATACAAAAAAATAACGGTTATTTATAATTTAATCGCAAGATTAATGTTTTAATCAATAACGGTTATTGCCTAAATGTTATTTAAAAGTAGTATCAATGGTACCCTATGTAATTAAAATTAAATATAAAAGATAGTATACATACATATACTGTGATGATATACATATATTTTACCGACCTATTAGGAGGAGGATATGATAGACCCGCTAATTGAATACCAAGTTATAATAACATCAACAATAAAAATAATTTAATCAACATGTACATTGAAAACCTTATAAAAAATAAGTTACATGTAAAAAAAGGTAAGGACAAGTATCTTTTTAAAAAAAAACTACTTACTTTCATCATTTCCGAAGGTATGAAGCAAAAACTATGATTTATAAGAAAACACAATACCTTAACTTTAATAATAATAAGACATATTTCATTGATATTGATTGTCAACTTGACAATTATATTTTATGATATTTATCAAATAAATTTATTATAAAAAAAAAAACTTAAAATAGCGTTGAATGATATATTAACAAAATACAAAGGGACTATAGGGTATTTCAACTTTTCATATGAATATACAAAATAATTTGGTTAATGTTTTTAGGTTGTGTAGCACACCGAACATGTTCGGAGTTTTTCTGAATGTCCGAACATGTTCGGGTGTTCGGCCTAACGCTTTCCGAATGTGTTCGGCCGAACATATTAAAAAAATAATAATAATAATTGTTTTTTTTAATTCGAGCTTTGTTACGAATTTGAGCATATTTCCAAGGCAAAAGTTGTTTGTATTATTATTTTACATGACATATATGTTTTTCAGATTTTTCGAAAAACTTTTTTTTTTTTTTTTTTTTTCACGTTCGAAGAGTTCTCACGCTCGTTCACGTTCGGTCTTGAACGGTGACCGAACTCGAACACGATGCTACACAGTTTTTAGGATTACAACAAATGTCAAAAAAATGCAAGTTGGAAATTATGGTAGAAACAACAAAATACAAGCAGGTTGAAATCCTAAAGGTCAAGATGTATAAAATTATGTTTACTACAAGTACAAAATTTGATTTGACGTAAGGGATTGTAAAAAAAAACAAGTTAATGATCAAATATTATAACAAACATCTTTAATAAAAAAAAAAAAAAATTGAAAGGAGAACACAGTTTGATTATAAACACATCAAACGAAAGTGTTTGCGGTGATAACAAACTTTTACAATATTTTTTTAATGTTTAAATCGAGATATATAAACTCGATAAGTATTACGTATGTTTAAATAAAAATACAAAATATTTATAGGCCAACCTAAAACTAAAACTGTTAAAGTATTTATAAATTTTACAAAACAATGATATTTATAGATCAGAATAAAACCCTGATAAAAATGATAAACAATGGAGTTACAAAAAAAGTACTTGTTCATATCAAACATAAAATTTTCAATTATACTCGATAAAACTTTAAAAGGGATTATTATAAAAATAATCAAACATTGGTGTCCAACGCATCAGTCTCGAAAGTGCGCACGCATAAAGGAACCCTCCCCGCCATACCGCACACAACCAGTATATTTAGTTCACAAATACTGTTCCGGCTAAGTATGCTAGTCATATCTCTCACGACCTCGTATGACAAAATATAGTGTCACGTTAGGTACAACTTACTTCCCTCCGAAGCGTTCATCTTTAGACGGACGTGTCCGTGCTGAAGTACGGGCTCACATGTGGTGACTTTTATTTATTGTGTCAGAGATAAGTCAACCGAGGGTGTTTCTTGTCGATAACAATATAAATGTATATGCAGTAAAACACCTTAGACTTGTCCGTAAATGTGTTGGTTAATAAAATGTTGACCTCCCAAGGTCTGTTTTTATCTCATATCAATTTAATCTTACAAACTTTCGTTCTTAAAATATTTTAACCTAATTACTGTCTTATAATTTAGTTAGCATAGGGACAGGGAGTTGCGGGTTGTGAGGATATATATATAGAGAGAGAGAAAATTAACAACGAATAAGTTATTTCACGAGAGACTTCAGGTGTAGTTCGCGGGCCGAAATACTTAAGAGAGACGTGCGTGCGAGATAAATCATAATACTATGGAGTTTATCTCTCCTTGTATTTAAACAGTTCAGGAGTGTACCAACTAAGCTAGGTCCATTGGTTTTATCGTAGGTCCCGAAAAAAAAAAAAAAAAACACAAAATAAAAATATGGAAAGTAAAAATAACTAAAGGAAGGGCGGGGGAAAGAAAGGAACCCGTTCGTTCCCCCATGGTCCTACCAGTCGGGCCCGAGATCGGGTTTGATGACAAAAGTCAAGGAGAATAATTTATAGGACCCTCAACCCCTCGGCTTCATTCAATCACGCTCCACAACTCCGTCGTCACCAACAATTGACATTGATTCCCGTAAGTCCAAGGCTGGTTATAGCAGGTGGAAATTTCATTTTAAAGAGTATCCGCCTTCCTCCTAGTTCCGTCAAACAGCACTAGGTCGCTCTTTGGCCTACTGGCCACTCCTTCGCACACCACATTCCCTCACTTACTGCTCGGAGCGACCGATTTTATCCGTAGCCGCTGTGCGTATGATAAAATCGCACAATTACCAAGAATTTCGGCTTTCTCAATAGGTTACTCTCTCGAAAGGCCGTACTTTTACCACCTTGGCATCGGAAACCCCGACTTCCATCTATAACACACTCTACTATTGCCAACCTTTCCAAGATCATTGACGACTTTTACCGCGAGCAAAACACGGTCAACCTAAGTGTCTGCAAACTCAAACATCGACTTTGAAAAGTCAACAGAAATCACTTCATACCAGGGTTTTGATGATGAATCTCAACGTTAACTGTAAATTCCGCCAGCGTTTTATGCGTGGGTTGTCAATGTGCACGTGCTACAAACTTAAACTCCTCTACAGCCCCCACCACTGGGTGCGGTCGTCAATCGTAACATCAGTTAATTAAATAACTAAACGTTTGTCTAAACCACACGTGCCCTCGAAGTGCAGGCTCAAACACTCTCTGATTTGACCATATATGCGCTCAACGTTCCCTATTACAAAAAGTCGGTTGCGGTCATGCAAAAATGGGGCACTTTCTCATATATCATCAAAGATGCATCTCATGTAAGATGCTAAAATATGCATACATATCCTTGTAAGGGTATTCGTGTCGGCAACAGGTTAAGTCATCCTAAAACAGTAGATCTCATGTTATTCCAACTGCCCTATATTTAGATTTGACCACGACGGTTGGAGTCCGACTCACCCACCAGTTTTCCGCCTATGGCGCTGGTTGCCCCGCCCAAATTTTGAACGTAAGACCCTGTCTAACTACGATTTCCGACTCTAGCAAACCCACTGGATTACAACCTTTGATTGCGGTAGGGTTCCAACTGACCTCTTTTGACTTCACTAGCCAGACTGTCGGAGTCTTAGCCTAAGTCAACTACGGAATTCGATACTGAAGTCGGGGACCGAGTGATCCCACCAAATTGCAACCTACTGCGGTAAGGCTTTGGCTAATCCCGACAATCAACGACACTTTAGGTTGAGGAAGAAACCCTGAGCACAAACATCCAAACAAACATATTAAAGTCCGCAAGCAGATTGCTCATGCCTCAAATAACATGACAAACATTTCTCAAGAAAGGTCACTTCAGTCTCAAGAGGTACTGAACAACAACAAGACAACCGACAACAAGTATTTGTAAGAGACATCCCTTCAGCCTCAAAAAGTTATGTGGTGTTGATCCCTGTAAAAACCCTTTCCTTATCTAAAATTTTTTCAAGAGACCACCCGTCAGCCTTGAGGAAATACTGAGGTAATAGTCCTAGAGAGGTCCCTTTCCTCATTTGAGACAGAAGATGAGCAACTTAGTCAAAAGACACGAAGTCCCTTTACTGACAAATCTTTGTCAAGTAAAGTTGGACTTCCTTATGCCTATTCTCATAAAACGTTTCTAAGACAAACAACTTAGCCAGAAAACACGAAGTCCTTTTATTTACAACTCTTTGGTCAAGCAAAGATGAACCTTTTTATATTCATCAAACTTTATCTTTATTACAAAAATAATACTGATTACACATTTAATGTGTCACAACCACGAGTTCTTTAATCTTAATACTGCATCAATATTTAGGAAGGTTATATCTCATCACCTCCTACTGCAACTACATTTCATAGTTGTTCCCCATGCTCAGGGATCTAACACTCGTGTACCGACTATAGCTCTGCATCAATGATATTTTAATCTCATTAGTTCATTATCACTTGCAGAAATAAGAAATTAATTCACTTGCAGAAACGAATATGAATCGTATAAAAATTCTCTCTTAATCTTTTGTATCAAAACTGATATGCTGAAAATTGA